TGTGATTAATCACTATGCTTTAATTATGTTCAATTTGTAACAATGAAATTGGGGGTCACCACAACATGAGGAACTGTATTAAAGGGCCGCAGTGTTAGGAAGGTTGAGAACCACTGGTCTACATGAATGTAGTAGCTAAATAAAAAATAGTTAGAAATTGTGATTATTTATTACTCTGCTCTAAGATCTAAAATTGTCATTATCATTTTAAAGCTATAAAAGATAAAACAGGTTATTTTCTTGTTAATCCTCACCCAAGGATATTTTTATTTTTCCATTGATTTTTTTTAGAGAGAGTGGAAGGGAGGGAACGGGAGAGGGAACAAGAGAGGAAGAAAGAGCCCTGGCCAATTTGGCTCAGTGGATAGAGTGTCGGCCTGCGGACTGAAGGGTCCCGGGTTCGATTCCATTCAAGGGCACATGCCCAGATTGCGGGCTTGATCCTCAGTAGGGGGTGTGCAGGAGGCAGCCAATCAATGATTCTCTCTCATCGTTGATGTTTCTATCTTTCTCCCTCTCCTTTTCTCTCTGAAGTCAATAAAAATATTTTTTTTAAAAAGACAGAGGAAGAAAGAAAAACATTGATGTGAGAGAGACACATTGATTGGCTGCCTCCTGCACATGCCCCGACCGGGGCCAGGGATCAGACCTGCAACCCAGGTACTTACCCTTGACCAGGACTCCAACCTGTAACCTTTCAGTGCACAGGCTGACACTGTTCCCACTGAGCCACCAGGCCAGGGCTGCCTCTGTCACTCTTTAGTGACATGAGAAGTAATTTAACCTCTGAATTCCTTTTACTTATTTGTAAAATGAGAATAACAACACTTGCTTTAGACATTATTGGGAGGATAGAAAGAGCTGAAGGTGCTTCGTTTGCTGTTGTAGCTCTTGCTGCTACTGCTTGAGGATTGTTTTGGTTTTGTTGTTGCTGTTAGTGGAACAAATTGAAAACCAATTTTTTTTCTGGCATTAGGAAGATTTCTCATCAGTTAAAGGGAGGGTGGTAATGACAGTAGAATTTGAACAACATGTTTATATTTTACGATTCAGACTTTCTTTGCTTTATCATATGTGATTCTCTAACATATAGCATCTGCTTTGTCAGAGGAAATAACAGATTAGCCCTCAAATGTTGTGAGAGATGTGGGAAATGATGATGGCAAAGAAAAGAGGCTGTTCCTGGAGCAGGAAAAGCATAATAACAGCCTTTAAAAGTTGAAATTTCAAAAATTGAAAAAATGTTAAAACCAATTATAGATTGGCAGTGTGGCCTACTGAAAGCTAAGGATTTTACCATTGATTCATCTCAGCTTAGCTGTGACTGCCCTTTCCGGTCTCACTTTGACCTCTGACCTGTTTCCGCACTAGGGCAAGAAGACTGCTCCTTCTAGGAAGGATCTCGGTTGCCAAGGGCCTAGCCAACGATCGAGGTTTAAAACTGGGAGTTGTACGTTATCCTTAATCTTAGCTTTTGTCCTATGTGTAGGACATTTTCTAAAGGGAGCCGAATGCTTTTCCAGCTCCGGTAACCATGCTTTATGTAAGCACTTCTGCTTCTCTGACGCATCCCCCTGCCTTTCCTGTTGTAGTCCCCGCTGCAGCGTAGTCGCGTAGGTGAGGATTTCCCCACTAGGTCAGCTTCAGCCTGCTCTGGGCGCGGAGAAGGAAACTTGGAAGAAAATTGTAAACAGGTAGATTTAAAACTGTGCTGATTTGAAAAGATATTTTGCTGTTTGCACTTTAGAATATTAATACTGATTACCCTTGTGGAGACAGGAGATTTTGAAGAAATCTAAAATTAATATAATTCTATGTGAGTGTGTGTGAAGCTGCGGAAATGTTTGTGTTTGGTATGTTTTTATGATTAACTCCCTTTCCAAAGAAAGAGCCACGTCCAGTGCTACCCTATGTTCATGCACCAGTAAGGGACAGTTTCTAAGTAAGAAATGCCTGGCAGTTTTCCAGTACCATCTCTTTGTGATTTTCTAAAGTAATTTTAATGACAATCTGAAGGGCATAGTAATAGTTGCTTAAACAGCAAACTCCTCTTCCTCCCCAATTTTAAGTTTCCCCTGAAGCGTTTGCCAGAGCTCCGTGACCCCGTGTCCAGAAGGGTTATTTTCTGCTGTGAGGTGCACAGCGGGTAACCGGGGGGCTCTCACACAGCAGTGACACTGGAAGAACCATTCACCCTCACCCCCCCGAATTCTGTGTAGGGGCGTGAATGGGAATCGTTTCTTCTTACAGTTGTTACTGAATCGTTAAAATAAATTGTCCCAGCTGTTCATTAGAAGAAGCCAGCGGCTCTCTGGAGGTGGTGTGGCTACTTAGTGCCTCTGCAGAAGGCACGAGTTCAGAGGTGGGACAAGAACCTGCTCCTCCTGATTCGTTACTGAACGGGAGCCATGCCCAGGCTTTTTCCAATGCGTCTCTCCAACTCATCCCCATATTTGGAATTATTTCTTTAGTGAGAGGATATTGATGGTAATGACAAATACAGGTCAGTTTTCTTCTTGGACTCTACTATTCTAACTTCTCACTGACACAGAGGGTTGTAGTTAAAATATCTTAGGACCATATACTTTGATTCCTTTTGAAACTATGATTTAAAATATTTTTAAAATAATATATTTAAATTTCACTTTTTATCCATTTCTGGAGCTTGAATCTCATTAGAAAAATATTTTATTTTGAAAATAGCTTTAACCTAAGGCATAACTTTTGTGAACTGTATAAAATCATATGCATTTTATATTTTGGAAAATGTAAAAATAAATTGTATTTATTTCTATATGTAAATCACACACATATACCATCTGTCCATCGAGTTATGTTTTCAAAATTCCCTGTCTTTTTATTTGATTTCTTGAAGAAATTCAACTTATTATTGAGAGAAAGTTCATTGGTGGGTCAAAGTTAAATCTGCACTTTTTTCCCCCCACATGACGGAAAGTTACTAATGTTAAGTAGCCATGAATCAGCACACTTTCTAGGCCCATCATCTTCAGCCTTCATGGTCCTGAAAGATCCCACTCATTTTGTACTCTACTTGATGTAAAACCTCAAGTAAGTTTGTGGCATTGGATATCGTGTCTGGGAAGCTTGTACTATTTCCATTTTATAATTTTCAAATGTCATTTTCAGTCAACAAAAAAGTAGTTGCCTAAACTTTCTTATTAGATTTTGGCCAGCATTGATTTCCTGCCCTGCTAAATTAAGTCTGCTTCTTCCTTTCTCTTTGAAGTCCAGTTTTTTCTGCATGCACTTTTCCTTAACATCTAATCCAATGTGTTTTAAAATGCACAGGTTGCTTTGCATGTTTGTTTTTTTGGAATTTGCTCTTACATAAACATTGAAATCATGTTACCAATATATTAAATGGGTGGTGAAATGGATTCTTCCAGATAATGATTTATTAAGAAAGATAGAGTAATGAAATAGAGAACTGTATATTTTAGTACAGTTATGATGACATTTTGGTCCTGTCATGAAAGCAACTGGCCTGTTGTGATTTAATTGGAATGGAAAGGTTACTAACGCCTGTGTTTGCAGGTCAAGGGAAAAAGTAAGATACTTTTGCCAAATACTATGTGTAGTGAATCATTATAGGTATGTTTGACATATTGAAAAGTAATTTTTGATTATTCTGTAAAGAACATCCTACTGATGTTTTAACATTCATAATTTTATTTTTGGTTAAATAAATACATTTGGATCTTTGGACTTTTTTTCTTTGTCCAGGCATAAACATCAATTTTGTCTTTACTGTACCAAAAATTTTCACATTGTAAAAGCATTGAAATATTTTGTAATGCTTATTTCCAAAGAATTTCTCAGCAGATTTTTTTTTTTGGGGGGGGGGTAATATTATATATCATGGGGAAAATATTTACAATAATTACTGCAATCCTAAAAGTTACAGTCTTAGGAAAAATAAATTTATGCTTTTAGTCAAAAGATTTTCATAATGTTCTTTCTTTTGACTCTTAGAAATTTGTAAGAAATGCCAGTTAGTACTCAGTAAAATGTTCTTCGGCATAGTTTTTCTAAGTCAAACCTATGCAACCAATTCCTTAGGCGTTGTGTTTAGGCTAAGAGTGCCGGCTGCCTCCCCAGCACCAGAGCTTGCTGGAGGAGTTCGAGCCTCGCGTGGCTGCTATGGCTTCGGCTGATGGCTTTTTCCCACCTGCCGCTGCAGTGGTGCAGGCAGCCCTGCAGTATGTTGTCCCACTAGCATGCAAAGGTAGAACGTTGTCTGAAAGGCAGGAGAATACATTTTTCATTTGTATCATGTAATTCTGCTTTGCTTCACAAAGACTCTCTCCTCAGTTCAGAGGTGTGAACGTGGGAGTTTTCAGATGCACTTGAGCTGCCTTTTTCTAGTATTTCTCAGTCACTAGGAGTGAGGTTGAGGGGACTCGGGAGCTTGCTTAGAAGCGTGTTGTATGTCTTTACCAGCTTCATTCCTAGTGCTCGACAGCACAGGGAAGCTTTCGGAGTTTATTGTGAATGTGCTACGGAGGTCCAAGGCCGGGGCGTTAAATGCACCCAGGACTTCTTTTCCAGGTTGAAGTAACACTATTTAGAGTTGATGATATAATTTTTTATCAGGTACATTTTATTTTTTTATTTTTTTTAAATATATTTTATTGATTTTTTACAGAGAGAAAGGGAGAGAGATAGAGAGTTAGAAACATTGATGAGAGAGAGACATCGATCAGCTGCCTCCTGCACATCTCCTACTGGGGATGTGCCCACAACCCAGGTACATGCCCTTGACCGGAATCGAACCTGGGACCTTTCAGTCCGTAGGCCGACGCTCTATCCACTGAGCCAAACCGGTTTCGGCTATTTTTGTTTTTTTATAGCAAAAATGTCTTTTTATTATTTATTTTATTCAAATAAAAATGTTTTCTTTTAAAAACAATTTTCATGAACATTTTGACCAAGATATGCTGTTGGACACTCCATAAATTCATCATGTCTTCTTTTCCTAGGCTGCACAGATTGTGCTAATATCGCTGTTTGAATTGAACACTCCTGAATTCACTATGTTACTTGGTGCCTTGCCCAAAACATTCCAGGATGGTGCCACCAAACTCCTGCATAACCACCTCAAGAATTCCAGTAACACCAGTGTGGTGAGTGCTTCGGCCATGTTAGTGCCTTTGTGTACTGGCCATGGCCTCTGTGTCCCTCGTCTACAGCTTGCTCTAACAGCCAGCTTGCTTACTCTCTTTTAATAGACTGTGCTTGTCTCAAGAGTGGGAGACCAGTTTTAATCATGCCATATTCCCAATGAATGAACCTGGTATTTAAATATGGCCATTTTCACCCTGGCCTGTGTGCTAAATGGTTAGAGCGTCAGCCTGCAGACCAAGGGTTGGGGCTTTGATTCTGGGTCACAGGCTCAATCCCTAGCCCAATTGGGGTGCATGCAGGAGGCAACCAATTGATAGTCTCGCTTACATCAATGCTTCTCCCCCCCCCCCTCATCTCTCCCTTCCTTCCTCCCCTACTTTCTCTCCAAAAAAATAAAGTCAATGTAAAAAATATCCTTGAGTGAGGATTTTTTTAAAAAAAGTAAATGTAGCCATTTTCTTTTTCTGAAAGATTTTTCAATTGATTTTTAGAGAGAGGGGACTGGAGGGAGGGGTTGAGAGAGAGACATTGATGTAAGAGCGAAACATTGATCGGCTGCCTCCTGCACATCTCCTACTGGGGATTGAGCCCGAAACCCAGGCATGTGCCCTGACCAGTAATCACACCGGCCCTTTCAATGCTCAGGATGATGTTCAACCAACAGCCACATCGGCCAGGACAATATGGCCATTTTCTTAAGTTTGGTTATTCAGTCAGTTACATACTTGTTTATACTGTAGAGATGTAAATGCTCAATTGTGTCTGTTACCCTAGCACAGCTGGCATCAGTTATTCCGTTTCAGAAATGCCTATATGAAAGTCATCCATTTTTTGTTTAATGTGCACTTAAAATTGGCCCCAAGGATTCGGAAAAAGAATCATCCTGATTGTACAGATTGTGCCCGTGTAGACACATGTGGGTGAAAAGCCAAGGGAAAAGTGGGCCATGTTCTCTGTGTAGCCCTGGAGTAATGATGCTTCTTCTGCCTTCACCCAGAGCTCTCCGAGCAACACAATTGGCCGGACTCCCTCCCGACACAACAGCAGCCGGACCAGCCCCCTGACCTCACCCACCAACTGTTCCCACGGGGGCCTGTCTCCAAGGTAATGGGATCCGACAGAAGTGAAGACACGGAAGTGTAGCCTATTTTTATAGTTTTTACCAAGCTTAATACCAGAAAGTGTATGGGTAACAGGAGATCATGGATTCCATTCCTCAGCCAAATCTTAACTAAATAATTTTGGGCAACATCTACAGTGAAACGCGTGATTTGTACTGAATGTTCTCTGAGTTTCTTCTAACCCTGAGCACGGTCCAGTACCTGAAGGGTTTTGAAGCTAAGAAGTTACATTTAGCACTGCTACACATAGAAATCGTTAGAAACCCATCGCCAGTCCTCGAAGTGGTGGGAGCCCTTGAAGAGGGTGTTTAGTCATCTATACAAGCCCTCCGAGCCCACCCACACATAGTCTGGGGTAGTTTTCCAGCCCAGTGCCCGTTGCAAGCATAGTTGCTGTCATTCTGGGCTCATGTTTGCAGCAGGCTGCTGCTCTGGAGGAGGGAATAACAACCCGAGAACTGAACTTGAGCAGCATCTCAGACCCGGTGAACACTGGCTTTTCAGAGTCTAAGGCAGTGTCTCTGCCTCGGGACTGGTGGTTAACACTGCTCCTCCCGGCCAGGGTCGCAGCAGTCTCAGGTGGCTCTGGGGACCTGGCATGTGCTGGAGGCCCCCAGGACCCCCACCTGGACCTGCCAGCGCCGTACATGCTGTGCTGTCTACAAGAAGTCCAGGTCTTTGGGATCACTGACAGGAAGAATTAAGGGGCTGTGTCTCAAGGGTTGCTGACATCAAGATCTTAAAATTATAAGAAAATGCTGCAAGTATGCCATTTTCCTTTTAAGGATTACCTCTCTAGTAGGAAGATAATCAAAACATAAGAGCCTTTCAAGGCATAAGAGCCTTTAAATTTTTATTTTTAAATAATCAAGAGTCTCCCTTACTCCTCTGTTCTTACCAGTGAATTTCTCTTCAGTTCCTCGGGTTATCGTATAAATATTTTGGGATATATCAAACTTGTACTTTTCTCTTAGTGAAACAAAGTGTTCTATCCGCTTATAGTAATAGTGCCCTACTGTTGATATTGCCTTAAGTTTATTCATCCCGAAGTCCCCCCTCCCAGCACTCTAAGTAGATTAAAGTCTGCTGTTCTGACTCCAAGTCTGGGCTGTTGTCTTGATTCAGCAGCAAGCCACTCTAATGAGACATTGGAGACCAGGAACTCAGGGGAATGTGTCTGCCTTTCCGCAGGTGTGGCTGAGGCTCGCCGGCCACTTGTTTTTCATGCTAACATCTCTGTGTGTGTCACAGTGTGTGATTGTCTTCAGTGGCCCAGGGTCAGTGCTAGCAGCAAAGTCACAGAGTTCTCTGGCTATAAACTGTTGCTTCTGGAAGTGATACTTGCACCATCAATGGGAAATCTGTTCTTTCGTAATACACAGATCATACTTCTTATGTTTTAACTATTTCATTATCAGGGTGGTACACTCTCTAGGTAATAAGCAAAAGGTAAAACAAATTATTTTATTAATTGTGCTAATAGTTTAAAAGATTGTTGGGAGCTGCTAGCATAATTTATTAGAGCTAAGTATTAATCTCATGGATCCCTAAATTAATAAAAATTTTATTTTTTCCAGATCGTCATTCATTCTTAATTGGCTTAACTTTAATGTTTACTGCTAGGGTTACAGGTCAGTAGAAGAAATGAAGAGATTTATTTTCTATATTAAAACCTCCAAGTGTGGCCTAAAATTTTTTTGGTTGAAAAATTCTTTAGGGAATTACTTAGTTATGTAGTTTCTTTTTTTCTTTCTTAAATATATTTTTATTGATTTCAGAGAGGAAGGGAGAGGGAGAGAGAGATAGAAACATCAATGATGAGAGAGAATCCTTGATCGGCTGCCTCCTACATGCCCCGCACTGGAGATCGAGCCTGAAACCCAGGCACGTGCCCTGATCATGACCTCCTGGTTCACAGGGTGACACTCACCACTGAGCCACGCCCACTGGGCCTTTCTTTCTTCTTTAAAAGCCTGTGCCCTAGTCAGTGCCTAACTAGCCAGATGGGCTGAGCCAAGTTTGTACTCATTTAGAGAAATGTTTTTCTCAACTAAAACTGCCCCAAGTAGGAAAAACGGCCTCACGGCATCACATCACTGGAAATATTCAAATAGGCAATATACTTCCTACCAGGTAAACTCTAAGAGATAGGAACTCTTGCACTCACTGGGAGATGGACCTGTGGCCGACTCCCGAGAAGGCGGTCTCTCAGGCTCTGGAAGCGCCCGTTTTCTGGGCCTGCGCGCTTGCGGGCGCCATGACGGTGGCTTCCACACTGAAGGGGAGAAGTCGGCGCTGTTACTTTTTAATCTAATATTGAGTATCAAAATGAACTACTGTTAGTTTTTTCTCCAAAACTTCTATCCTTGAATCATGATGGTAATAAGGAAATATTCTAAAAAGATGGGGGGGGGATCTAATTTGGTAGTTGTTTTTTTTAATCACTAGTGAAGAAGTCGCTTTTATTAAGCCAGTATAGTATTAGATAAGCCATAGCTAACACGCCACACTTTTGTGGCACATTCCATTCCTTGTGTCTGTGTGAGGGAGGAACTACTGCTTATTCTCATCTAGTAAACAAATACGCTGGGTACTTGGAGATGAGAGTTCTGACCTGCAGTTGTCACCATTGAACACACTACCCTGTGTGGTTTATGTTGAATGGAAGCAGAGTTGCAAGGACTTCAGAAATCCATTGCCTTGAAGATAAAAAAGTACGTGCCGTCCTCACTCCGGTGCTGGCAGACCTGCCGCAGAGCGAGTGGCACTGTGAGGTGACCTCTGCCACCCCTGGCAGTCCCAGGTCGCTCGGGGGTTTACATTCACCACCAGAGGATCAGGACCGTCCGTAGAATCAAAATGGGTGGGCCCGGCCTTCCGTAGGAGGGAGCAGAGTTCTGGCCTGAGAGGGTTGCCCCCCGGCAACCCAGTGTGTGACGTAGAGACAGTTCTCAGCCCCTTTAAGGCACAGGGACTCGCAGCTCCACACTCCATTTGTCTACGAAATGGGGCCATGACTGTCCTCAGGTGGAGATAAGCTTGGTGCTCCTGCTTGTAGCACTGCGAGGAGCCGGCAGGGGGCGGTGTGTGCGGGAGCGCTGTCCTTGCGCCCGGCCTCCCCCAGCCTCCTGTCCCCTGTCCAGCCGGGCTGCCCCAGCCTTTCCCAGGCCCCTGGTTCTCTTGCATTGCAGCCGTTGTAAGAACTGCCCACAGGGTGCCTGCAAGCCTGTGCGCGGGAAGAGGAATACTTGTGTTCGCAGGCGATTTCAGTCTTCACATTAGATGGCAGGAGTGGAGGACTGGATCTGGGGCGCCCTCTGAGCTGGCTAGCTGAGCATTGGCACCTAGCCTTCCAGTGGTGACGTTACTGTTTCAAGAGGAAATGGCTTGTGGCAGCCTCAGAATTCCCGTCTGATTGGATCCCAGCCTCTGGCCACAAGGACACGTCCTCTGAGTCTTCCTGCTATAGTTCCTTTGGTCCCATTTGAATTAAGGCCTGTAGTTCTTTCTTGGGTTCTTTCTAAAACAAATGATTATGTGATCTGACACAGAATATCCATGTATTTTTTTTAAGTGCCTATAATGTCCTTCCCAATGTGTGCACACGCTTCACTCAGAATCTCCTATGATTTAAAAATGTAAATGCATGACCGAGGGGGAAAGGATTGCAGTCTTATCGAAGCCAAATTGTAACCAAAGACAGTGTTCTTTTTCCCTGTGTGGTGAAGTATTAACTTTGCTCCAATGAATTTCGATAGAACTTGGTCAAGGAAAGAGCAGACTCCAAGACACTAGAACATAGCATCTTCCTCCTCCCTTCCCCTTTGCCTTTTTTTGCTTCTCTTTCTGATTTTCCTCTTCTGATCACTGCAGTCGGTTATGGGGTTGGAGTGCCGATGGGCTATCGAAGCACCCCCCTCCCCTTTCTCAGCCCAACTCCATTCCCACCGCTCCCTCCCACAAGACTCTCAGGCGCTCTTACTCTCCCAGGTAACAAGCTACCTGTCAGCTCGTCTGAGGTGTCACAATATTATTGCATCCCCAAGGTCGCCTCAGTCTCCGAAAGCCTCTCAGCTGCCTCCAGTGGCCCTGCTTTGGCTTCGACTAGCAGGAGGAGGGCCTTGGTGAGAAGTGTGAGCAGGTGCGTGATCCTTGTTGGACCTCGTGAGTGCGGTTCCTCCCGTGTCACAAGGACTGAGGACCCCGTTATCAGCATCTCCCGGCCGAGCCTCGCCTGGTGCGGTGCTCAGCCCCCAGGAGGTGCCAGGCAGGCACAGCAGTTTCCTTAGCCTTCTTCTCAGGGTCCAAGGCATTCCTACCAAGAGCAAGTCAGACCTGCTCTTCCCGAACTCCACCTGCCGCTCTGGGGCCTGCTGGCGAGAGTGTGGACTGACAGCTGGGTAATGGCCGGTCACCTGGTGATCGTCTCAGGACACAGACCCAGAAAGGAAGCCCCGCAAAGGCAAGGGCGTGTAGGTATATCTCCGAGGAGGCCGGCCTCCAGCAGGAGGGCTGTTGGTGTCCTCACCAGCCCCTGCTTCAATGGCACAGTGCAGCTGAGTCTGGGGAAGGGGAGGGGCCTGCTCCAGATGGTAAGTCCGGGGCACAGGGCAGGGGCCAGGTGTTCCTACAGACAGCAGCAGGCCTCTCCGCGTAAGGTTCTAAGACCAAAGAGCCCGGCCCTGAAGGCTGCGGTTGGCAGGGCAGGCAGCTCCGGTGGCGGTGCTGTGTCCATCCGATGGGCTTGAGCCCTCGCTGGGGCGGCGAGTGTGACGATCACTTCTGAGCGCTGCAGAGAAGATGGCGGCGAGGCTGTACGCGGCCAACAGTCAGCTGAGCGTTTTAACGTCTTTCTTTTGAAACATGCTGTCTAACGTCACTTCTGATGTGAAGAGAACCCTGCAAGACTGTAGGTAGGCACGGTTAGGTGTCCCTCTGTCCTCAGCATCAGTAACGATGTCGCTACACTTCCTTTTTGTTTTTTTAAATATATTTTATTGATTTTTATTTTATTTTTTACAGAGAGGAAGGGAGAGGGATAGAGAGTTAGAAACATCGATGAGAGAGATCAGCTGCTTCCTGCACACCTCTTACTGGGGATGTGCCTGCAACCAAGGTACATGCCTTTGACCAGAATCGAACCTGGGACCTTTCAGTCTGCAGGTCGACGCTCTATCCCCTGAGCCAAACCAGTTAGGGCTCCTTTTTTTTTTTTTTTTTTTAAGATTAATTAGGCCTCAAGTTGTAAGACCAGTTTAATATCTCCTGGTAAACAGTGCCCCAATGGGCACCAGGCTTCACCCTACCAGTCTCCCCAGCCAGCCACCATGCCCTCCCAGGGTGCCCTGTTCCCAGAATCCTCATTCGCACGTGACACAGTAATGCAGCTGATGTTTAACAAATCCTGGACCTTATGCAACCATTGGGAGAGAGGTGGCGAGCTTTTACAGTTAGAAAACGTATTGCTCACATAAAACCAAGAGGAAATCTAAGTGTCTCTTGCTCTCTACCAAAACCCTATTTATTTCTTAACAAGGACCAGTTATCCTTTTTCTATACCCTGGTATCTTTACCCTACAAAATAACAAAGAAAACCTAAGGAGACAATTGCTTGTCTCCGGTTTCTCTTTCCTTGGCAATCTGACCTCGTGCACCTCCCCACCCAGGATCCGCACCCTTCACAGCCTGCGGCCCAGGGCTGTGTTGGGCTCAGTGTTGGGTGCGTGGCTGACCTCAGGTCAGTGTCTGCTGACCAGTGGAGCCACTCTTGCTAATCTAAAGGCTCCTGAGGCAAACTTTCTGGACTCTCATCACAGGTTTACAGGGACAGGGCCTGGCCTTGCCCTAGGGTCATTCCCGGAGCTGTCTCTGAGCTGAGTGTGGGGCAGGTGACAGGCCGGGCTACCCCGAGTGAGGCTGCTGCGTGTGGCTTGTTGGGGCCACAGTGTCTCCAGTTCCCTGATGACGGCATTCACGGGAGTTTCCTTTTTCTGTATGAAATGAGGGCTCCGAGGTATTGACTTGAAAAAAGACAAATCAAGCCAAAGCCTAAAATAGCCAAGAAAGCAGCCCTGTTTCCTGTTCGAGGGGAACAATGATCGCTCTCACCTGGAGCTCACAGTTTTCGCTTCGTACCAAGGAGCCCTTCGAGACCTCAGCTAGCGAGTCTGAAAGGAGCGCCTCGGCCGTGCACATGGGCTCCTGCAGGGAAGTCTGCCCTGCTTTAGTAATTGACAGTACGGAGGAGCATGAGCTGGCAGAATCCTTTGCTTTCTCTTTTAAAAAGAGGCTACTGTAATGCTAAAGTCATGTGAACTGAAATGAAATATTCTAAGGAGGTTCAGATGAAGAAAAGTAAGATGAATTATGTGAAAGTTAACATCATCTGAAGCGACATATGGAAAATAATATTGTGACATCCCTTAAAAAGCTGAACACCATCACTTCCTCCTGTCCATCCTGTCATTCTTTCTTTTCTTTTTGGTGTGTGTGTGTGTGCATGGGCTATGTTATTAGTTTTGGCTGTTTTGATTCAAAGTATTTTAAGACATCTTTTTACATCTTATATATGTATTTTTTGTTTATTCAGTCTTTATATATTAAAAATAGTGTACTGGCCAGATGTATAAATGGTTTTGCTCATACAAAGCTGGGATGGTGGTGTTTGTGGAGCTCATGGGGCGATGACGTTGGCAATTTAGAAGGACTGGAAATCTTGAATCCTGTTCAAGTTTTTATCCACCTCCTGTCAGTGTGTACAAGGGATTTTAGCTGTATGTTCAGGTTCATTCCCTCTTTGTTTGACGCCAGAGCCAATCTTTGAGTTGATATGTCTGTGAACTGGCCAAGTACAGGTAGGGTGTGTGTTTTCTTTCATCAGAACAGAAAAGTGCGTTCTCTCTGGGCCGGTTCTGCAGTTTTAGGCAGCTAGCTCCATCTCTAAGAGTGAATCCGCCTGATGCTCCAGCGGAACCTGACTAGCCTAGAAAACGCATCGTTGCACCCTCAGGCAGCCTGACCACTCCAAGTGAGAACTGTCCAAAGCCCTCTTGCTTGCCTGCCCAAGCTTTAAAAAAAAACAACAGTAGACAGGGGAGGGGCTTAGGAAGTGTGTTTGTTTTTAAGTGACAGGAAACTTACCTCTGTGAGGGGTGGCTTGTGCTGTCCTGTGGAAGGGCTCCTGCCAGTGGGTGCTTAATTCATTATTTCTCTTCAGAGGAGCAGAAAGAGTGCCGTCCTTAGTAATGGTGAAAGCTTTCTTATATACAGCCAAGGACTCTTTAGTGTTCCTAGCAATCCTCCGTGTAGCTCAGGACTTTTTGCAGGCACATAGACAACGCAACTAATTTTGTCCTGGGTATTTTTTGAAACAAGTGACATCTAAACTAAGTTATAGTTTGGACTTGTCTTTGCTGAGTGTTCCTTCACGTTTTTCTTTCTTTATATTCTTGTATTTTTTCTGTGCTTTTAAAATATATTCTTAGTGAGGGGCAGCTGATGGTTTTTGTTCTTGGGACTTTCAATTTCAGTGTACTTTTCAGACACCTAAAGGCCACTTATTGATACACTGCATTACACCAAAGGCTGGTTAGGATTTTTTCTTCCTTTCATTTTAGTTATGCTAAATTTTTTAAAAACTGACATCAGTTGACAATCACTCTTCTTTAAGGGACAAATAATTTTGGTTTTTTAAAAAATGGTTTTAAACATGCATCTAGAAACTGACTCATCTTTATAATAAGATTGGCTCTTATTATAAAACTCCAAAATAAGCATCTACAAGGATTTGATATTCCCAACAAGTTCCTCGGTTAGCTAGCCGAGTTAGACTCTCAGGAGCCCAGTGAAAAGGTGGAGCTGACTTCAACTTACAGGGTTGGTGTTTTAGTTTTAGTTTTGTTTAGTTTTTAGTGATTTCAGAGAGGAAGAGAGAGAGAGAAACATCAGTGATGAGAGAATCATTTATCGGCTGGGGATCGAGCCCACAACCTAGGCATGTGCCCTGACTGGGAATTGAACCCTGATCTCCTGGTTCATAGGTCAGTGCTCAACCACTGAGTCACGCCAGCTGGGCGGTAACATAGGATTTTATGTACGAATTTCTGATACTGGTGAGCATAACCCAGCTTGGTGGAGTCATTTGCTTTGCTCCTCTGAAATTTGTTTGTAATCTAGCTTTACTTTGAAGTGCCCATTCCTTTTCATTTAAGTTTGTACATTTGAGACCAGTAACAACCAATCTACTTTCTTCCATGCTCAAGATATGCCGGTTGTTTTTCCACTTTCATTACCTCGTGCATTCAGTCACCAGTTGTCACTCTGAGTTCTTGCATCCTTGTGGCTGTTTCCCACTGGTTCTAACTGTGTGCGATGCAATGTGTCAGGACCAGGCTTGACAGGGAAGGTGTGTACTTGTCCCCCAGTGGTGCTCTGATAACAGATGTCTTCTTTTCATTCCCCCTAAATCACCGAAAGAAGCAAAACTATACATTACTCCATAAATTATTAGAAGAAATGTATGCACACATCTCAATTCTATGCATATGCCTCAATTTAAGAAAGAAAATATTTTGATCTTTAGCTTGCTGGACAATGATACAGAGAACCTGAACTCTGAAGAAATCTATAGTTCTTTGCGTGGAGTTACAGAAGCCATTGAAAAGTTCAGTTTTCGAAGCCAAGAGGATCTGAATGAGCCAATTAAACGAGATGGCAAGAAGGACTGTGATATTGTAAGTATCCCCGGACTAATAGAGAACTGTATATCGATTAAGTGGTGATTAATGATTCTTCTGAACACTGACCACTGTCATTCCTGCGCTTCATCGTTATTTTTAGCATGTAATAGAAAGGATTATTTTTAGAGGCCCAAGGCAATTTTGAGCTAGCCTTCCTATCTTTGTGAAAAATGTTAAATACCTTTGTTCTCAGTTTTTGTTCCTGTGATGTGATAAAAATCGTGAGCCTGAATCAGATACCAGCATGGCTGAGTGGGAGCGCTAACCTCATGCGGAGGCAGGCAGATAAGCAGGAGATTGTGGTGTGTGCTCAGCACCAAGACTCACCAGGACCAGTCTCGGTGCCCAGGGAGGATCTGCAAGCGATGAAGCATGAAAGCCAAGTAGGAGGTTGTAGTCAGAGCAGCGGGGAGAAGGTGGAGAGATGGGAGTGGTTCCCCCTGAGTGGAGAGAGGGAGCATGCTGTGTTTGGGGGAGGTCTGCAGAAGGGCTCAGGCGGGCTATCACTCAGATGGAGAATTATTCCAAGGCATTTGGGTTCAGTAGGAGAAAAGCAGGAATAGAAGAGTTACAGGTCTGACTAGGACTCATGAGTAGGTGCCGGTGCAATTCAATGAGAAGATTTCATAGCAGGAGGGAAAAAGTGTATGCTAACCCCTTTGAATACATGTGACTCCTAAGACCTGCACGGCATCCAAGCAGACGTATCCATTAGGCCTTTGGATATGGCCATCTGAAGTTTAGGCCAGCGAGTGAGGCTGGAGACAGACTTGAGGGGCATTGATTGACTAGTTGCTCCATGGGAACCAAAGAAAAGCAAATGAAATGAACCAGGTAAAGGGTAAAGGCAAAATCCAAAGCAGCACCAACACTAAGGAAGAAGTTGGAAGAATAGCTGGGGAGGAGGGAGGCCCGGAGCGCGTGGTGAATGGTGTTACAGGGGACTCTCGGGAGGAAGTTGTGGCCAAGGGATCCCACCAGTCAGACCCGGAGGGGAGGGCTCCATTGGATTTTTAATTTACTATATACGTGCAAATCCCATGTTGACCTGAAACACAGGAAACACTTGCTCATTCACCAGTGTTTTGATATAGAGCCAAGACCTTTCCTTTGAGAAGGGGCCACCGTTTACTTTCGTGTCCTTAAGTAATCACAGTCCACCCTTCACAGGTTTTGTTTCTCTCAGGGGTCCATTGGGTTTGGTGAGCATGGTTCCGGAAGGGTTGAAAGTGGGTTGAAGAGTGAACAAACTGGGGAGAGAAGAGGGCATTGGGGTGTTCCCTGTGGAAGAGGCCTGACCTGCGTGAATGCCAGTGGGCCAGAGAGAGAAGAAGGCTCCCTGTGCAGGGGAGGGCCCATTGGTGGACCCGGCCCCTGAGGACATGGAGGGATGCGATCTGGGCCCTGCCGAGGAGCTGGCCTTGGCCACAAAGGAGGGGCAGGAAGACGGAGGGTCCTTCCCCCTCTCCCCCCATGGAGAGAGGCCTGGCACCAGGCTGCTGGGAGGGCCTGGGAAAGGTTTCCAAGTAGCTGGGGGTCGGGGCAGGGCTCTGCCTAGTGAGCAGAAATCCTGTAGCAACAGAAGCCACTCTGGGAGGAGGTGGGTGCCCGGGTATTACTCGTCCCAACTGTAAATGTGACAGATAGCCAACACATAATATTTTAAAAGTGCGAAAAGAAGTCACCATCTCTAGAGATAATGAACTTTAACATTTTACTGTGCATTTTTCTATTTCTTTATGTGCATTTATACATTAATGTGTTTCAGGGGTGTGTGCAGAGTACTTTTAAAATAAAAGTGACATCTGCCCTAGCTAGTTTGGCTCAGTGGATAGAGTGTCAGCCAGTGGACTGGAGGGTTCTGGGTTCAGTTCCGGTCAAGGGCACGTGCCTGGGTTGTGGGCTCCATCCCCAGTGGGAGGACTGCAGGTGGCAGCCAATCAATGATTCTCTCTCATCATTGATATTTCTATCTCTCCCTCTTCCTTTCTCTCTGAAATCAATAACAATATATTTTAAAAATAAATTAAAAGTGGCATCAAAGTGTGCGTCCTGTTTCACAAGGACACGAGCGCTGTCCTCCAGTGCCCTTCCCTGTGCCTTCTGGGGCTGGGTGGTGATCCTCATGGATGTGCCATAGTCATGTCCCCAGTGCTCTGTTTTTTGGAACGTTTAAGTGTTTTCAGCTTTTTAGAGCATAAAAGTACTGTGCTGAGAGTTGAAAGGAATGAAGCGTGGTAGTGAGAAGGGAGAGCTGGGCCAGGAACCCTCGGCACTCCCAGGGTGGGAGGAGCAGAGGCTGGAGAGGAAGCAGTGAGGCCAGAGGAGAACCTGATGCAGAGACAGGGCTGTCCCACTGGAGGAGGGGCCTCCAGGAGCATGAGAAGAGGCAGTGACAGCGAGGAGTTGAGGTTTACCACTCAACCTCTTGGCCACTGGTTACCAGGTTTTTAACTATGAAGCGGTGGCAGATCTAATACTGTATTGAAGGTGGGACTCGGGAGCCAGTCTGCCTCTTCGTAAGCTTGACCAGTGACTCGTCTGAGGAGGCAGACGCTCACGCATGGGCATCAGAGCCAGGGGAGGTGGTTCACAGAGGCAGAGATGCCAGCTTTGTTTCAAGTAGAAGTTGCAACACTTAGTGCCAGAAAGGCTAGAGCAGTGGTTCTCAACCTTCTGGCCCTTTAAATACCGTTCCTCATGTTGTGACCCAACCATAAAATTATTTTCGTTGCTACTTCATAACTGTAATGTTGCTACTGTTATGAATCGTAATGTAAATATCTGATATGCAGGATGGTCTTAGGCGACCCCTGTGAAAGGGTCGTTCGACCGCCAAAGGGGTGGCGACCCCCAGGTTGAGAACTGCTGGGCTAGAGGGACATGTTGTGGCAGCATGGCGGATTGTCACTGCCATTGTGGAACTTAGTAAAGTGACATTTAGCAAAAGGACTTTAGTTTCATAGCCTTTAATGATCTATCTTCTAACAAGCTCAGCAAAAAGAAAAAGGGTAAGTTTTTACGCAAAGTAGTTTATTTTAGTATTATTTATAATGGCCCAAACCAAAAACTAAAAAATCAGTAGAAGGGGAATAGTTGAGTAAATCTTATTAAATCTTATAATAAAAGGCTAATATGCAAATCAACTAAACGGCAGAACAACTGGTCACTATGATGCACACTGACCACCAGGAGGCAGATGCTCAACGCAGGAGCTGCCCCCTGGTGGTCAGTGCACTCCCACAGGGGGAGCACCTTTCAGCTGGACACCATGCTCATGGCTGGCAAATGCAGCAGCGGTGGCAGGAGCCTCTCCCGCCTCTGAGGCAGCGCTAAAGACCCCGAGGGGGGAAGTCCGCCTAAGCCAGCAGGCAGACATCCTCTCAGGGGTCCAGACTGTGAGAGGGTGCAGGGCGGGCTGAGGATCCCTCCCCCCTCTTCCCGCCCCCCTCCGCAGTCATGAATGTCGTACACCGGGCCTCTAGTTAAGGTTATAAAAACTATGTGGGACATGCTTACGCTACGAGGAAAGCAAAATACAGTGTATCCCAAAAATGTATACACCCTTTAACAGTGGGTAGCTCAATTTTGAAAATGAGATTATTTTAATAAACACTGCCTTTATAGTTATTCACAGTGTGTGTGTACATTTTTGGGACACCCTGTATATTGCAGTATGTGCACTGTGATTCCCATGCTATAAAACATGCATGTAGACAAGGACAGAGATAAAAAGCAAAGTTTAAAAAGTAATATTTTTTTTGTTTTTAAAAGTGATTAGAATTAGGATAGTTTAGCTTTGTTTTTTGAATGTCTTTGTTCTTTAAAACTCTCCCTTTACAAATGATTTTTCATTATAAAACTATGTTTTATTTTTAGAAGAGAGTTACAAAAAGAAGAAAATGAAAATCATCCGTGAATTATCTTCCCTGAGAGAAAACCCGTGTTAAATCATTTTGCTCATATCCATGCATGTATTTTACAATAGTATTATATTAGTAAACAATTTTTTGGGAGGGGTGTTAATCAAGTACGTTCCAGCAATTTCACTAGGTATATGTCCAAAAAAGTTGGAAGAAGGGACTTGAACACAAATTTCTATACCAGGGTTCATAGGAGCATTATTCATAATAGCCAAAAGGTGGAGAAAGCAGTTTCTATCAACAGATAAATGGATTTTTTAAATGTGATGTGTGTGTGCAGTGGAAGACTATTAGCCCTAAAAAAGGAGTGTGATACTGACACGTTGCAACACCAATGCAATTTGAAAATATGCTAAGTGAAATAAGCCAGACACAGACAAATAGGCGCTCTGTGCCTCCACTTATGTGAGGCACCTGGAGTCCTCACATTCATGGAGGCAGAACGTAGAACAGAGGTTACCAGGCTGGGAGGCCGGGAGTTAGTACATGATGGATACAGAGTTTCGGTTAGGAAAGATGAAAAAGTTTTGCCCAAAATCTCACAGTGGTGGATAATGGTTTCACAGGACTGTGAATGGGTTTAACGTCGCTGAATTGTACACTTAGGGCTGACATGGTGTAAGTATAAGTGCATCGGCACAAGGACTGCGGCTGCTGAGGCTGTTTTCACTTGCTTTAGTCACGTGTCTGGGTGAGGGGAAGACAGGCCTGCTGTTCCCCAGGCGGCCCAGGCCGCTCTTGTCCCAGTGCTGCCAGCAAAAGGCCCCGGAGACGGGACGCCGAGAGTGAAGGAGCCAGAAGCATGGCAGGGACAGAGGACCAGGGCTTTCATTTGTTGAAGACAAGACTCCGAAGCTATTAGAAAAAAGATTTTTCGGAAACAATAAGAGACCTGTTCTTTTTTTTTATCCTCACCCGAAGATAATTTTCCCATTGGTTTTTAGAGACAGGGGAAGACTGAGAGGAAATACTAATGTGAGAGAAACACATGGACTGGTTGCCTCCTGCACGCTGACCAGGGCCTGGGCTGGGGAGGAGCCCGTACTGAGGTACATGCTCTTGACCGGAATCGAACCCGGGACCCTTCGGTCCACAGGCCGATGCTCTATCCACTGAGCCAAACTGGCGAGGGCAAAGGCCTGTTCTTTGACCCAACGTAAAGACGGACTCAGAGTCAGAAACGTGCAAAGGAAGGACGACCTGTAGGGGATCCTGAGCCCTCCATTGCCAGAGACCATTAGCCATGGTTTGGCTCCCCGCGTGGTGGGCCATGTGCACGGGGCTCTCGGACAGCAGGCCCGCGTTCGGTCTGGTGGTGGTAGTTGGGCCTGTCGGCCTGGTGTCGGCCGCAGTGAGGAAGCCCTGCTGTTTACAGGAAGCGACAGGCTGCAGTGCTGGTCCAGGCCTCGGAGGAGCAGGATGGGGCTGTGGCCTTCATTCTCAAGGGACTTTCCAGAATCTCATGTTATTAATCTCTCAAAAAATGTTTGCATAAAGTTAATCCCACGTTCAAAGTAAAACAGATTTTACGTGTAATTTAATGAAAGAAGAGGTGACAATATAAGCATATTCTGTTCCTTTTTAGGCAGTTTATGAAGTAGGTATTTACAAATTGAAATTCTAACAACTGTTCTTTTGTTAGTGGCCAGATTTCAAGTGAGAAGTCTCTGGCTCTCCTAATGCTTCTGAAAACTTAAGGCAACGTTTTTTAAAAGTCCTAAAAAGGACTAATACCTGTTCTGTGCGCAGGTATCCCGGGATGGCGGAGTTGCGTCCCCTGCCACTGAGGGCCGGGGCGGCAGTGACGTGGTGGAAGGAGGCAGAACAGCTCTGGGCAACAAGACCTCCCTGCTCAACACCCAGCCTCCGCGCGCCTTCCCGGGGCCACGGACACATGACTACAACCTGTACCCCTACCCGGACACCATCAACACCTATGACAAGACAGCCCTGAAGGAGGCCGTGTTTGACGACGACATGGAGCAGCTTCGAGATGGTTTGTCTTTCTTTGTTTAATGGTCCCCATCCAGAAGTTTCTCCCATGGGCTTCCCCTCTTGTCTGACCAACTCTGGGCATATTGGTTGAATGGACATGGACATGGGTCAGGCCTGGTTAGTCCTGTGTTCAGCAGCTACATGTCCAGCCATGGGCTTGGGCGTGGAAAGCACAACAGTGAACAGAAGGACACACAGCCCCACCCTCCAGAGGCACACGGGTGACCTCAGGTGGCAGCTCTGAAAGCTGCAGTGAGGGAGGCTCAGGTGCCACCAGGGAAGCCGTCACTCGGACCCAGGGCCCGAGGAGCTCAGGAGAGGAGTTAGTGAGGTGGAGGGCAACGGCTTGGGAGTCCCAGCTCTGGGCTCCGCATGCCCGTGTAGCTGTGGGAGTCGGGTCTGAAGCACCACTGGGCTCCCCTCCCCTCCCCAGCGTATCGGCAGCTGTTCTGGAACTGCTCCGGCGACTGCCCCGCAGCTGGGAGATGGGCTCCGGCATGTGCTGAGCATTCACATTGCCTTGTTAGTCCACTGCTGCACTCATGCTTTACACACGGCATCCAGTGGACATAGTGCTCACGCGTTATACACGGCGTCCAGTGGACATAGTGCTCACACGTTATACACGGCGTCCAGTGGACATAGTGCTCACACGTTATACACGGCGTCCAGTGGACATAGTGCTCACACGTTATACACGGCGTCCAGTGGACATAGTGCTCACACGTTATACACGGCGTCCAGTGGACATAGTGCTCACACGTTATACACGGCGTCCAGTGGACATAGTGCTCACACGTTATACACGGCGTCCAGTGGACATAGTGCTCACACGTTATACACGGCGTCCAGTGGACATAGTGCTCACACGTTATACACGGCGTCCAGTGGACATAGTGCTCACACGTTATACACGGCGTCCAGTGGACATAGTGCTCACACGTTATACACGGCGTCCAGTGGACATAGTGCTCACACGTTATACACGGCGTCCAGTGGACATAGTGCTCACACGTTATACACGGCGTCCAGTGGACATAGTGCTCACACGTTATACACGGCGTCCAGTGGACATAGTGCTCACACGTTATACACGGCGTCCAGTGGACATAGTGCTCACACGTTATACACGGCGTCCAGTGGACATAGTGCTCACACGTTATACACGGCGTCCAGTGGACATAGTGCTCACACGTTATACACGGCGTCCAGTGGACATAGTGCTCACACGTTATACACGGCGTCCAGTGGACATAGTGCTCACACGTTATACACGGCGTCCAGTGGACATAGTGCTCACACGTTATACACGGCGTCCAGTGGACATAGTGCTCACACGTTATACACGGCGTCCAGTGGACATAGTGCTCACACGTTATACACGGCGTCCAGTGGACATAGTGCTCACACGTTATACACGGCGTCCAGTGGACATAGTGCTCACACGTTATACACGGTGTCCAGTGGACATAGTGCTCACACATTATACATGGTGTCCAGTGGACATAGTGCTCACGCTTTACACACGGCGTCCAGTGGACATAGTGCTCAGACGTTATACACGGCGTCCAGTGGACATAGTGCTCAGACGTTATACACGGCGTCCAGTGGACATAGTGCTCAGACGTTATACACGGCGTCCAGTGGACATAGTGCTCAGACGTTATACACGGCGTCCAGTGGACATAGTGCTCAGACGTTATACACGGCGTCCAGTGGACATAGTGCTCAGACGTTATACACGGCGTCCAGTGGACATAGTGCTCAGACGTTATACACGGCGTCCAGTGGACATAGTGCTCAGACGTTATACACGGCGTCCAGTGGACATAGTGCTCAGACGTTATACACGGCGTCCAGTGGACATAGTGCTCAGACGTTATACACGGCGTCCAGTGGACATAGTGCTCAGACGTTATACACGGCGTCCAGTGGACATAGTGCTCAGACGTTATACACGGCGTCCAGTGGACATAGTGCTCACACGTTATACACGGCGTCCAGTGGACATAGTGCTCACACGTTACACACGGCGTCCAGTGGACATAGCGGCAGTTGTTTCTGTTCTGCAGGTTAAGAAGCCAAGGTTCAGAAAGGTTGAGTTCCTTGCCCAAGTGTAGCATGTTCACTATGGAATAGAACTAGTCTGGCTTTTCTGACTCTGTTAAGACCGTGTCCTTTACTGAGGAACAAGTGAGTAAGTATATTTCGGTGTGATGGTGTTTTATCTGGAACTTAATTTGTTTTCCACCTCATTGTCATGTTGACACATTTTGAGTTATTTCAGCTTAGTAGTCATTTTAGCTGTCTGCATGACAGAGGAACTGCCTGCGCTAAAGCCGACCCAACTTAGTAGTCAGTTTTTTAAAAGCATACATATATACTTCTTAGGGCTCGGCCGGGGGGCGGGGCGGAGCGGGGGGCGTGCAGCGTGGAGAAGTCCAGCCGGTGAAAGCATACTCCTGGCTGTTCCGAGCTCACTGCTGGTGGTGTTGGTCTGACTGCCCTTTCTGGGCCACTGGCCTGTGGCCTTCCATTGCTCATAGACTTGGTGCATCATTTCACTTACCACTGTGGGTCTTATTGCAGATGGAATGGAGATTAGGATGTTGGTTGTTATTTATTCAGCAACTGGATAATAAAAGACTTGAAGAAAAAGGTGGGAGAGCAGGGGGAAATGATAGCGTTCTTTCACATTTCAGACTTTCTTCTGTGTTTGTTCCCCAATTTTGGAATCTGAAGAAATGTGCACATGCAAATTAAGTAGTTCCTGCCTGAGCTGGTTTGGATAGACTGTCAGCCTGAGGACTGAAGGGTCCTGGGTTCGATTCCACTCAAGGGCACATGCCTGGGTTGCAGGCCCGATTCCCAGCAGGGATGTGCAAGAGGCAGCTGATCAATGATTCTCTTTCATTGTTGATGTTTCTATCTCTCTCTCCCTCTCCCTTCCTCTCTGAAATCAATAAAAATATATCTTCTTTAAAAAAAATAAAAGTAGTTCCCGATAATTTGTCTGACTTGTTTCTTCCCGCTTTCTACTTAAAGTGGATTCAGAGTGGAGGTCTCTTAAAAGCGCATGCAGAGAAGGGATATGCTCCTCTGCCATATGGTTCAAGTCTTGCAAGTCGTTCACTAGAGGCCTTGGGAAGTTTGACAGTCGGCCTTGGCTGGTGTCTGTTTCCTGTGCTAGCTCCTAACCTCTGGACTCTCCGAGGCGGGGGGTGGGGGTGGGGGGTGTTTCGATGGGAGGGAGCTGTGAGGAGTGCCTTGAGGAGAGCGTGCTCTGGGGGAGGGGATGCTAGCAAGCGGGTTCCGTGGCAGGGCCTGACGCAGGACTGTCGAGTGGAGATGGAGTCAGGGCGGGCTTTGCGAGGGCTGCTTCTCTGTGAACTGATGAAAGAAATGGCAGTTTCTCCTCTGTGTCTGAGTGGGAAGGTGGGAAGATGGTAAGGCAGGGTAGAGACATTGAGTATTGGTGCTCGATACCTATTCTCCCGCCTTTGTTTGGGTTTTTTAAATATATTTTTATTGATTTAAGAAAGGGAGGGAGAGAGCGAGACATCAGTGATGAGAGAATCATTCATCAGCTGCCTCCTGCACACCACCCCCTAGCGATCGAGCCCACAACCTGGGCATGTGCCCTGACTGGGAATCAAACTGTGACCTCCTGGACCATAGGTTGATGCTCAACCACTGAGCCACACTGGCTGGGCCCACCTCTGTTTTGACAGTTAGTTTGGTGGAATGACCTGCGGGTGTAGAGTGAGGCTCGGGCCGCAGGTCAGGATGGAGGGGGTGATGGGAAGAGACCGGAGAGCAGAGGAGGGCGGCTGCGTCGCTGAGGCAGCACCTGCAGCCGGCGTCCCTTGTGCAGTAACATCTGTGTTGTGTCTCACAAGTACCCATTGACCATTCGGACTTGGTGGCGGACCTTCTGAAAGAGCTGTCCAACCACAACGAGCGCGTGGAGGAGCGGAAGGGCGCCCTGCTGGAGCTGCTCAAGGTCACCCGGGAGGACAGCCTGGGCGTCTGGGAGGAGCACTTCAAGACCATCCTGCTCCTGCTCCTGGAGACCCTTGGAGACAAAGACGTGAGAGCTGCTCTTCTGCATTCCCTTCTGGGGGTGGGGGGCTGCTCTTGTGGGGTGGCTCAGCTCTCCTTTCCTACTGGGCTCACAGTTTACATCAAAGCACGCCTGAACTGGCCTCGGAGCCCAGGGAGCAAGCTCCACCTAGAGTACGTTCACGTCGACAAGGGGACTTGTTCCTGCATCAGGTCACTTTACACAAAATTTCTTAAAACTGTTAGCTTAAAATGTCATTTGTAACAATGAGCTTTTTTCCTTGTGACTTTTATTTTTGTTTCATGTTTAATTGCGAAACAGAGAAGTTCCTTTTTAAAGACCCTACGAAATGCTGCATTCCGGCACATTCTGCCTCCGTTCACCCGCGCGTGCGTGCGTCAGGGCCGCGCGCCAGGCTCAGGAACCGGGGTGGTTAGCATCGCCTATTATTTTCTGTTGTTAATTTTAAAGTAAAGGCCCTCTTCACACGGTGACATCTGAATGTGACACACTAGGCATTTGCTGTGTAATCTTAGAGGTGGGAAGAACCCAGAGTCCTGCCTTCCTGCCCCATGCAGCAGGCCCGTCCTCAGAGACAGGAGTAAATGGAGGGATTGCCAAGTAAGCCGCGCCCCTCCGCGCTGGGCCCTGTGTCCGCAGCAGAAACAGCAGTCGACTGAGCGTGGGGAAGGGCTCCAGGACAGGCCCGGGCTGAAATCTGACACAGCCCACGGTGAAGGTCATGCCCGGGCTCATGCTGACGGCGGTGGGAATGGGAGACAGGTGGGCAGGAGACTGGGCGTGTCACGCTGACTTGGATTGCTTTCTGCTGCTTAGGATTAGTGGTTTGGTCTAGAACAGGCTGAGGAAGGCTAGAAGGATGGTGATGAAAGATCTGGATCACCTTTTCTTAAAACAAAGCATTGGTTTCTGAAGCCCTTTGCCTGGGTTGGGCTTTGAGGTCGGGAGACAGAGCGATGTCATGTAGAGGCAGAACGGGGTGGAGGGTGAATTGCACAGGTGAGTGACAAAGAATCAGGATGTACTTTTTGGCTGTGTTTGGTGTAAACTCCATTCTCTTTTATTGAGATTAGGAGTCTGTTTGGAATGGCTTTCCTCCAGACACATGACCCGGGCCTCAAGGTCCTCAAGCACCTCGAGGCTGGTACAGTCCCCTCCCCCGTGGCCTCATCACTCAGCAGGTCGGGAGAATGACAGGTCTCAGCTGCCCTTGGAGAGCTCACAGTCTTACAGGCCACGCGTCCCGGTGTCCAGGCGCCGTTTACCTGTCCTCCGGGCATTTGACACAGGGTGGTTTGCATCTCTGAGCCTCAGGAAGTCCCCGTCCCCAGAGCTCCATTGTCCTCATTTGGCTCATTGAAGAAACCTTCATCAGGTCCCTCTCAGGTGTGGGCAGGGTGCTGGGAATGCCACCAGGGGCACGGGCTGCTCATGGGGCTGGCTGCCCGAGAGCCCGGCAGGTCAGCAGAGTAACCGTGTCCAGGCGTCTGCGGACGCTCGGTGCCCTGGCCCCTGCTGCCGGGTGTGCGTGGGTGCAGGCTGCTGACCTCTTCCTTCCTGTTCCCCAGCATTCCATTCGCGCGCTGGCTCTGAGAGTTTTACGGGAGATTCTGAGAAACCAGCCAGCGAGATTCAAAAACTACGCCGAGCTGACGATCATGAAGACTCTGGAGGCCCACAAAGACTCCCACAAGGAGGTGAGCCGCCCGAACCGGGAATGCGGAAACAAGGCCGGGCGCGGTGGGCAGTGTGGGGAGAGGACTGTCAGTCACTGCACGGCTTCCAAAAAGGAGTCCTCCCCTGAGCGCAGGCCGAGAGCTCCCAGCTCCCAGGGGTGAGCCAGGGCTGCGTGGTGGCCGCGGGCAGTGCCGTGCAAGGGCTGGTGCCACGTGGTGGGTTCCTGACCCCCTTTCCACGTGCACAGTGGGCTCGGCCTGATCCTGGGGTTCCCACATCTGTGGTTCCCATTGGTTTGGTCCAAAGGAAAGGTCTTCCGTTTCTTCCTGGCTTTGGGCATCATGCCGGGTGATGTTGGAGAGCGAGATCCGCTCTGAAGATGCAGGCATCCTAGGACAAGTCCCGACAAGGCCTCGCTCCAGAACCCCGGAGAACTTACCTCACGAACTCTGAGCCTGTTTCCTTATGTGTAAATAGAGATGGTACCACTAAGCTTCTCATGAGAATTCAGTGAGACGACCAGTGACGGTTCCTGGCGGTGCTTGGCGCCAGCGGGTACTGCGCTGTGTGGGTCTCCCTTCCCTTGTCCCCTGGCAGGGCTCCTCTGTGGCTGTGCCACGCCTCGTCCACTAGCTCCTGAATGTTGGCCAGGCTAGCAAACGGCACCTGCGGTTCCTGGCACCTCAGGTGCTGTTGGAGAGCAGCGGATGTGTGTCTGCCCCGCGCATGTATTGCAGACAGGCACGCAGTAAATCCTCGTCCACTTGCTTACCTAGTTGTTCCAGCCCATGGATCACCAGTCCTTTCTAGAGGTCTACAGACTCTGGGGAAGTGGGTGGAGCATCCTAAGTAAAAATGATTTCAGTAACACTATTCCAGTAAAAGCCATTGTGGAAAATGAACCAGATATTTAGAACTTTAGGAACCTTTATACTGCAGCCGATGGGTTTGACCCCCCAGCGAAAGACATAACCATTTGCTCATTTCAGTCTCTTGGCTCACATGTGACTATTTCATGGGCGTACTGTGGATTAAAGGAATTACGATTAGAGCAATTCTTATATCAACAAAAAGCGCCAGACCCTAAATCAGTGGTTCTCAACCTTCCTAATGCTGCGACCCTTTAATACAGTTCCTCATGTTGTGGTGACCCCCAACCATAAAATTATTTTCATTGCTACTTCATAACTGTAATTTTGCCACTGTTATGAACCGTAATGTAAATATCTGATATGCAAGATGTATTTTCATTGTTACAAATTGAACATAATTAAAGCATAGTGATTAATCACAAAAACAATATGTCATTATATATGTGTTTTCCGATGGTCTTAGGCGACCCCTGTGAAAGGGTTGTTCAAGCCCCAAAGGGGTCGCGACCCACAGGTTGAGAACCACTGCCCTAAATCATGCTTTTCCTCTGCTCAGCAGTTACATGACTACCAGACAGTGACCTGTCTGACCTCCTTAAATCCCACCATGATTGCAGGCTCAGCAAGGGTGGGGTCCTCATGCTCTGCCTAGGCATCTCCCCATCTAATAGTCCAAGCATAACAGCTACATGAGTGAGGCATGTGCTGGTTTGTTTTTCTGTGTTTTCTTCCCCAAGAAAAACGGTTTTAAATATAATGTTACATGCAATACACATTAATATTTCAAGAAAAAAAGATTTTAAATATAGTATTATCAAAACTGTATTAACATAGTATAATATCACAAAAGTTGTAGGAAATCTTAAAAATCTCCAAATAACAGGATTACTTCTATTATATTCTAAAATATTTTTTCCCTATTTTGGCTCATCAATTTATGTTGTTCATTATATTCCACAAATGAGTGAGATCATGTGATATTTATC